GCAGCAGGAGGAGGGTTCGGGGCGAGACCTCCATCCTCTGGGTCTGGGGAGACTCTGAGTCCGGGTAGGTCCGTGGGGACTTTACAACCTGGAACCGCGGCGACGCTCATTGGCTTCTCTGGAAATCGACAGTCAATGTGAGTGAGAACTGTGGCCGCGTCAGCAGTATCCAGGAAGAAGGACCTGACACGGGTTGGGACAGGGAGAAGTGAAACCCCGGGGAGACGGGGAATCCCCAACGCTGAGCTTCCCCGTCCCCGACACCCTGAGAGGCACCCCCGGGGCGCTGCGACATTCCCCTGACCCCTCTCCTGCACCAAGCGCTCTTTGTCACACTGTCTCCCTGAGTCCCTGCCCAGAAGCTGTCTGAGGAAACCAGGGACAGACCCCCAGGCTGGGCCCGGCCCCTGCCCCTTCACTTCCCGCCCCGGAATCCCTCTCCCTGAACTGGACTCCCTGTCTCCTACTCCTTTCCTCTCCCCCTGGACTCTTCTAGAATAAACTCACCCCAGGGAACTTGATGCCAGAGTGAGCTCGCCCTGGGACTGCAGGTGTAGAGACGGGGGTTTTCTCTTTAAACCTGGAGAAATTGTGTTTGAATGCACCAGATAGATAGAGACTCTCTTAGAGACCCGTTTCCTTTTTGGTTATTGACTAGGGTGGGCAGCACAATCTTGGTAACCCCTGAATGATCAGGAATCTTTTTTTTATGCTTGAGTATTTATTTTCTAAAGTTAGGATTAAATTGTTTATCTTCTGTAGGCAGAAGTTAGGTTTGGGGAATTCATGTCTGTGAAATGACAGAGATAATTTATTACAAATGGCATATCAGCCTTAATAAAGTTGGTTTCTTTCTTGAGACACTAGGGAAACTTGAATAACATATTCAGTAATGGGATGAGCTGGATTACTTGGAATAATTCTAAGAAATCACGGGTCAGCAGAAAGCTTTTCCACACTTAACATAATATTTTAAATTTCAAGTTCATCAAATAGCATAAAAAATTATATTCATATAAACAATGCCTGTTAATATTGTTAGGGCACAAAGTATTCAAAGAAACATAAGCAAGTTGCTCCCATTATAATGCAATCAAATTTTTCTTTAGAAACAAGTTAAAATCTCACAAAATAGAAATAGCTACAAAAATCATGAATGTAGAATGCTGACTTAAATCTCATAATTAATTAACAGCCTCTCCTTTTTTAAAAGTACACGATAATGAAAATTATATGGAATGATCAGGAATCTAAGTTGTAAAAGAAGTGAGTTTGGCCCCTCCATATATAAATGTGTCTAAACGTGTTACAGTTAGACTCACAACGCTCCCAAGTTTTACTCTCCCAGACGATGTGTCTTGGACTCTGAGTTGTTGTATTTTAAAATTGTCTTTGTTCTACAGCCCTGAGTCTGTGTGTGAGAGTCGAGGACATCCCCTCATATAAAGAAGCACAATCTGTTACTGTCTATTTCAGCCAGGAGTTGTAGGACTTTAATCACTTCAGAGCTGCACATGCTTAGTCAGAATGCCCTTCACCAGTGTTCATGCCTTGCCTGTTTTCATGAATCATTCACATCTAAGCTGTGTGCGTATTTTGGGGGGACACTTGGTATTTTTACCCTGATTAACATTAGGAGGCAATTAGCATTTAGGCAGCCTCACAAATGTATGAATTATGAAATAGAGGCTGCTGGAACAGCAAGAGCCAATCATGGAGCTACACATGGGGAGTTAGTACCGCCTGGGACGGAGGACCAGGAACGGGTCCTTTGGAGACATCTATCTGCCTGATGAAGAAGCTGCCAACGAGCTCAAGTGTGAAAACAAAGCACCCCCACCTGCACATTGAGAGCAAGTTCTACATTTTTTTAAATTAGAAGAAAAAAAGAAAAATTACCAAATACAAAAACACCCTGCTGGGCTCTGTACATATGTTTATTAAAATCTATAAAACACTGTTTAAATCTGAGAATTCCACTGCTTTAGAACTCTTTCCCTCTGCTCCTGTTCCTCAGCTCCTGCTTCTCCTCCCTTCCCTCTGTCCCTCTCATCCCACAGGCCACTTCTCCTCTTAGTCCCACGGACTCTCACTCCTGACCTGTGGCACTAGCACTGTCCCCTCACCTGCTGCCCACACTGTCCTCCCCACAGTGGTCAGCAGTCCTGCTAATGTGAGTCAGGTCCTGTCATTTTTTCACTTAAAATGCTCCCATGGGTTGGTTTCACTCTTGTGAAGCCTCTGGAATGTAAGGGACATGGGCACAGGGGCTTTGGGCTGTTTGGGTCAAAGCTCTATTCCCAGTATGTAAAGACAAACCCGGTACAAAGTAGGCACTAAATTAATTTATGTTCCATGAATAAATGAAATCTCATTGTCTTAAAATTTAATTTACTCACATAAAAATCATAAATGGAAAAATACTAAAAAAGTTAGGAAAAATTTTATTTCATGCAACTATTACATATCAGTTCATAAATTCATTCCAGTGGAAAAAATGTTATGTGCTTATGAGGCATGGTGTGGATGCGTTCTCTGTTCAGGGTTTCACAAAGCTGTGTCCTCATCTTGAGATTGGGTCCTCTCCCAAGCTTATGTGGAGCCTGTGAGCAGAGTTCAATTTCTGGCAGTTGCAGGACTGAGGTCCTTGTTTCATTGCTGGCTATCAGGGCCTGGAGTGGGGGGGCTGTTCCTGATTCCTGGTGGCCCCAGCATTCCCCGCCACGTGGCCTCTCCACTTTCAAAGCTCACAGGGAAGAAATTTCCTCACATGTGTCCCTGTCACACTGTGAATATCATGCTCAGGAAGAACCCAATCATTTACGAGCTCACCTGATCAGGACAGTCCAATGCAGGATAGTCCCTTGTCCTAAAGTCAACTGATTTGGGACCTTAGTTATTTCTGTAAATCCATTCGCAGCAGCACCTACATTAGTGGTGATTGAATAACTGGGGGAAGGTGAATAAGCTGGAGGTGGTTATTGGGGGACATCACAGAATCAGCCTAGCATGGCCTGGATCTTCCTTTTGTGTTCAGTTGGGTCACAGTTGGAAATAGAAGTTCAAGTAAATAGATGGTTGTGAGTGGTAATAAAATACACCCTATTTAGCCATGGAAATTCTTCTTAGCTCCTAAAAC